TATGTATCCATACCATATATGGGAACAATCATGGAGCCTTCTGTACTTACTTTTGCAGCCTTTGAAATGGCCTACTCCATTTCTTGTTTGATGTAAAAAGCAAGTCACTTCTGGTGGGAGGGGCCAAAGGAACAGAGGAACATGCTGCTACTTAGTATTCTTATTCTTCCTACTTGAAGAGTGATTGTTCCTTCAAGATTGCATTAACCATTATTTCTCTTGAGCTGTATAATCATTTTTTAATTGATTTTCTGTAACATCAGTATCTCTTAAAATGGTACTTGTAAATTGAGAAGCATCAGCTAAACTGGTCTCTGGGCTAATGCGTTTGGTAAATCGATTCTGTGCTGTTGAGGTGCTGAAACTACTTCATCTTGGCACAGTTTGAAAATCACTTGGAATATTTCAGACTCATCCTGAAATGGGAAAGAAATATAATTTTTTTTTAAAGACAGTAAACAATTTAAATTGGTTTTGCAACCATAGGCAAGATGCAGCTTAAAGCAACCATCGTCACTCTTGTTTTTCATGTTGCTTAAGAACTTTCTGCTTTTCTTTCTCAAAAGTAGATCTGCTTTATCACAGACTATGGCATCAAAATGCTTTTGTAGCTGCCTTAGGCTTGGTGTAGGGGAAAGAATTTAGGGAAAGCACACAGAATTATCATTTAAGTCTTGTAAGTTTTATGACAAAACTGACTTCAGCACAAAATGGCAACAGGTTATGTTATACTTACTAAACTTCCATGTCCTGTAGTCTAGAGGCACAGGAAGGAAAAATGCCAAATCCTGCACTCAAATTCTTCTTTGTTTTAATACTATAAAGCTCATCAAAGTGAATACTGGAGAAAATAATTGTAAACAATTGAATAGTTACCTTGATTAATGCATCAATTTGTATTGGAGGCAAAGACTAACTCAGTTTGTTGGTGACTCTTTTAGGGCAGTTAACATGCACAATACTTTAATTTTCCTTAATATTTAAAAGTGATTTGATCCTGTTCTTTCCAGTTTTGAAGTGAAGGGAAGCCAGAATTGTAGTGCCCTGAAGCAAAAATAATAATATTGAATAAGAGATGCATTATATGCTTTCAGTAAACCCTTCCTGAGATCACCAGACACAAAGCTGTGCCTTCCAAGTCCTTGTTTGCAGTGCATTTTTTATTATGGTGTTTGCTAACATGTTTGTCCATTTGGGTTGACTCATACTATTTGTACACACAAAACTCTCAGTGAAGGGGATGGGAGTTTGGAGTTTGCACACACTAGAATGGATTGGTATCTTTATCCAAGCTGTGGGCAACAATGTACTTTTTTTTTTTTTAGGTTTCAGCGCCACCAAATATTGCTGAGTCAGCAGTGCACATATTGTAGATAAAAGCAATGATGATGAATAATTCTTAGCTTTATAGGATCATGTCTATTGCTTTTCATTAATAGACACGAAAGCACTTTATAGTGCTTATCCTCCTTTACAGATGATGAAAGGAAGTAACTTGCCCAAGGTTGCTCAGCCAAGTGGTGGCAGAATAAAAAACAGAATCCAGTCTTCTGACTTCCAGTCCATTGCCCTCTGTAGGTCATATTTGCATATCTGATAGCTAGTAGAATAAAACATTTACACCTTTCTCTTGCCATTTTATTAGTATTTAGGAAAACGGGGAACTAACAAATTTGCAAGTTTCTGGAAATTAGTTGTGAGAACAAAGCAGAAACTGATTCCTGTTATGATGCATCTTAGCTAAAAAAAGTGACAGTCTCAAAGCTTCTCTGTGAGTATTGATATGAACATTTTCATAGCCTGTTAAAATTTAATTTTGAAGCTAGAAACCTTAAGAATAGGAGATTGGGCATGGCTAGATGATTAGATGTAATGGGAGAGGATGAGCCATTAAAACAAATATGCTTTTCAGATAGCTTCCGTCTGTTGGAGTGTTTGCCATTAGTGGGCCCTTGTCTGCACCAGCATCCAAAATGAGGCAGCACCAGCTGTCTGCACAGTCACAGACCTGCAGTGTGACCTTGGCAAGTCCCCTTTTATTTTGGTGCCTATTTAGATTGTAATTGGAGAAACGCTCTCTCAGCCTACATACAGAACTCACGTGCGGCCTCTAAAAACAGCTGTAATGCAAATAATGATCTATATCACAGTTGGTGTAGTTCTACTCCCATGTGGACAGTGTAGGAGCAATTGAAGGGATGGTAAAATACAGAAAGAAATACGTTCTGCAGCAACCTTTAAATCAATAGGGAAACTGAGTTTAAACAGCCTGTTCAGCGTGAGGGAATCCTTATAAATACAAATCAAGGCAGTGAACAAGAAGCAAAATGGATAACAAATTGAAGGATATTTGCTTTTACGTGGGATCAACCCCATCCCTCACAGCCTGGGTAAGGAGCTATGCATTCTCCAGTATGCATTTCCAAAAGCCCTCCTTTTTTTTAGAAAGTCCTGCTCTTTGTACAGACATCTAAAGAAGAAAAAAAAGAAAACTCCTTGTGTACTAGAGTCTTGGCAGTACCTCTGCATTCTGTCAGTTCTCAGGTGCAGTAGAGTCAATGTTCCTGTTATGTCATTACAAATTACATGGCCAAAAGTAATTAATTCAGTTAACCCTTCATTTAACAGCGGTGTGATCTGCTAGAAAGGTTGGGGGTGAAGAATGTTTCATTGCAATGTGTTTTTATCGTTCTGGTAACGTTATGTTCACTTTTATCAAAAAATGTTTGATGACTTATTTAATATCCTTAGAATAATTTGTGTCTAATAGCATATCAGTTGCTAATACTAGACTAATGCATCTTTATTTTTTGTTTTTTAGTCATGTTACATTCACTGATGCAAATTCTATAGCCCGCTATCTTGCTAGGGTTGCCACTTCTGCTGGGCTATATGGTTCAAATATTTTGGAGCACACAGAGGTGAGACAGTTATGCATACTTGATTTTTACATTAAAAGTCTTTGATAGGTTATGTGTTTTCCTTGCTTTCTAACTGGCAGCTATTGTGACTTAAAGCTGTGCAGCTGAGTAAACTGTGCAAGCCAAATTAACTGCTTCGTAGAGATCTTTCTGATTTTATCCCCAAGTACCAGATTGGTTCTCTTTTTGCCTTGTGAAATGCTGGGCCAAAAATTGCTCCTGATTGTTGATCTCTGCAGTACAGCTGGGCAGGCTGCATTCTCATCTGGGAGTCTGGCCAGCTTTTGCCAGTTTGGAAAAACTACTTCCTGGGATACTCTAAATTCTCTCAAGTTTCTCCAAAATGAAAGCTAAAAATGACCCTAAACTTTCCTCACAAAAGACCTTTCTTAGTTACCTTAATATCAGGACTTGATGTATGAACTTAGCGCTGAGTCCAGCCCAGAATAGCCATGTGCTGAATTTTAAAGATGATGCCTCAGATGGATAGAAGTCACAGAATTGTTTCCTCTGAATTTAGAGGGGATTAATGCTTCCCTGCTTTACCACATTTCTTTTAGATCGGAGAAAGACTTTCATCTAAGCCTGGGAACTTTTCTTTTTTTCTGATGCAAGAAGAAAGTGCTGCTTTAGTGTATTGCCCAGAATGGCTTCCGTTTCTTTGTGGTTAAATCCATTAACTTTCTGACTCAAATTAGAATATCAACCAATAATTCTGCTTTAAGTGCAAACCATTTGCACTCCAAAAACATATTTGCAAGATCAGTAATTCTGATTAAATACGTCTCTCAACTTTTGGGGTTTTATTCCCCTCTCCCCAAAGAAAAAAGTGTTTTAAGAAATGTTAGGACAGCTGCATTTGTGGTAGGAATATTTCTGATGTAATTGCAAGTTAGAGAGTTGAATTCTGTAGCTGTGTGATTACATCTGTGCCTGCCACGTTGGCTTGACAGTTGGAAGTATTCCTGATGTAGTTCACAGAACTCTTACAGTCCTAAAGCCATTCCATATGTATGAGAGACTTTACAACTGAGGTATTAAGTTTGTACACGTGTAGCCAAACCCTCAGCTGGTAAAATGTGTGTGGCTCCACTGAAGTCAGTTAAGCTGTCATTAATTACAACTGAGGGTCTGAGTCTTAAAGATTGAAACAAGTTTTGGGAGGGGGCAGGGGAGCTGAAAAGGCAAGACTAAAAGAACAGAGTGAGAAAGATGTGGGGAAAGTTGGTGTAGAATTCAAGTTACTTAGTAGCTTGCCAGGATTAAGAGGGAATCAAATGGAACACAGAACTCAATTTTCAGGTACTTCACGTATAATGCTAGTAGTGAATCTTACCATTTCTTGATTTGAAGGAACAGGTTATTTCCATTTTTTTTTTTTAAATTGTAAGTGTTAAGGGAAGCTAAAGTCATTAGCTTTTTGTAAAGTTTTGTCTAAAAGGCCACAGTTTAAAGGTGTGGAAGTAATGTCATCTTTTAGATTAAGGCACAAGCTTAGATCGGTGGTCATCAGAGATCAAATGTTCCATTATACCTGTGTAAATCTGGAATAATTTCATGAATGTCAGTGACAGCAGTCTGAATCCAGTTTGAGGATGGAAATTTTCCTTAAGCTTGTAACTCAGTTTTATATGAATCCCAGATTATATTGTTGGTAAACTGAGAATAGTTCATGAACCTTATGCTATGAATTAGGGCAGCAATTGGCAACCTTTTTAGAGTATGAGATGTTGTGACCCATAGGGCCCAGCTGCCACCTACACTTTTCCCCGTGGCTCCACAGGGAAAAGCACCTGACAATGACACCTGCTGCTTCCTGCTGCAGCGGAACAGGGAAGCAACTGCTGCCAAAGCCCCACGTCTGCAAGTCGATCAAATAGCTCCACAGGTTGGATCCAGCCTGCAGGCCATAGATTGCCAACCCCTGAACTCTAGGGTCTCCAATATCCCCAAAAATATTTATATTCAGTGCCCTAATTAATACTTTGCATCTTTTAATAAGCTTCGTTGTGCTTTTTTACTTTTATCAATAAGAATATGTCTTTTACCTAGTTAAATGTTATATGTATTTCTTTGTTCATTAAAATTAGATTGACCATTGGCTGGAATTCAGTGCTACAAAGTTATCTGCTCCATCCGAGTTTCCTTCAGCAATCCATGAACTCAATCACTGCTTGTCTCTGAGAACCTATTTGGTTGGGAATTCCGTGAGTCTGGCAGACTTGTGTGTCTGGGCTGTACTAAAAGGTATTAATAGTTATGCAAGTGCTGTAGCAGGTTTGCAAATGTGGCATACTGTTTAAATCTGTTCCCTTTAGTCTCAGCAACAATTTAATAGGCAGGAATATATAAGAGCAAGGTGGGCTGTAATTATGGACTGGTAAGCATGAAGGTTTGTGTCTTGGCTTAAATCCTTTTAAACAGAATTTTTTACATTTCTTAAATACAAGTTACAGTGTTGTGATTGATAATGCCTTTTTCATTTTTTTTTTTAATGCACATACCCTTTTTTTTGCCTTTTTCTAAAATATGAGAAATTATTCTTGGCTAAATGTGTGCGTGTGAGACTAGTCAGTGCAAATTAGTATAGAATTTTGTAAAAAAATTTTTAGTGAAAGCATTATTAAAACAATTATTGCTTTATCTGCTACGGTGTCTTTTAAATCATGTTCTGTATTTTTCTCATACAGTTAAACAAACTGTGAGTGAGTTAGCTTGTTAAAATGAAATTCTGTAGTAACACTGATAATTGCCTATTGGACACTTATTCATGCCAGTCAAGTTTGGATATAACATGCCAATCTGTGAACCATGTCGGCATGGTTTAACATTTTGCCTGATCTCTTTCTGAAGTTGCAGCTCTGAGACTCAAAATTGAAAGTAGCATTTTTCCTTTAGAAATACATTAAAAAGATATTTTCAGCCAAGGGTTTTTGTGTGCGAGTCTATTGATTGGATCAACTTTGTGGTTGCGGGGGGATATAGATGAGCTTTTCACTACCACAGTACCCTTTCTCAGAGATCTTAAGAAGAGTACCCAAAAGCTCATCCATCTCCCTCCCAAACATATAGTTGATCCAATCAAAGATATCACCCACAAAAATCTTGTCCATCCTAGCTACAACTGCTCCTTGTAAGTTGGAGGCCTGGTTTTACTTTCCATGGCTTCAGTTTTACAAAGTACTGTCTGCATCATGGAAGTAGGTACAGTACAGAGAAGTTTATATTCTTGTTTCCATGGAAGCAATATAGATATGTCTGTACTGTACTGTGTGCATGCCTAATGGAATAGCAAAGTACTGTGGCTGCATTAATGTTGTGCAGGGCACAGGCTAATTAGCTTTGCTGTGAGAGAGAGCCTGTTGGTGTAAGCATAGCACTATATTTAAAACAGATACCCTGGACTTTAGTTCAGGTAGTAATGAAGATGCTCCTTGATATTGTTTTGGGAAAGGCTCTAGGAAAGACTGCATTCTTTAAGTCCTTGTCTACATTAGAAAGCCCTTTTAAAGGCAAAACCTTGAGATAGATGCAGGTCTTCTGGCAAAAGATGGTTTCTGCTGGCAGAGTTCCTGTTTTTCAGGCAAACTGTCATGAAAGCAGGAAAAACTCCTGTCAGCAGAGCTGCATCCACAGTACAGGGGGTCAGTAGTGCTACCACCACAGTTAAAGGAGCAGCCTGTAGCATAAATCTACTCAGAAAAAATATGCATTGTGTTCAAGAAATTGGTTTCATGAAAGAAATGGTACAGAATATTTTAATCAAGTTATAATTTACCAATTTAATCCAGTTGTAAATTCACAACTTTAAAAATAGTCTGTTTCCGAACAGGCAGTAATATATGGCAGGAAGAGTTGCAACAAAACAAGGCTCCAGTCCATGTGAAACGCTGGTATGGCTTTCTTGAAGCACAGTGTGCCTTTCAGTCAGTGGGTACCAAGTGGGCTGCTGCTACGCCAAAGACTAACGTGGTAAGTTCTTATAATATGGTAAAATTCTTCAGGCATTTGTCTGGTTGTGCAGTTTGCATAAAATGTTTAATCATGTTGCTATTTTTAAGGTAACAGAGAAGAAACAGGATGTTGGGAAATTTGTTGAACTCCCTGGTGCAGAGGTGGGGAAGGTCATTGTACGATTTCCTCCTGAGGCCAGTGGGTAAGATGACTTGTTTCAAGAATGGTTTGTGTTTTTACTCACTTTGCTTTCAAAAACTGTAATGATGATGTTGGTCAGTTGGTTTGCTTGTTGATGGTAAATTTGGTGTACATTAGAGGACACTTTCATCATAAAGGCAACTTTCAAGGTCACTTGATAGCTAAAAAATGCTTTTTAAATATTTTTAGCAAGGGTCACTTAATCTTTTTCTTCCTTGGAGCTTAACCTCGTAAGTAGCATTAAGCTAATATTTAAAAAACAAATGATGAGCTCCTAAAAATATTTTTAATCTGCTTTCAGTCTCCCCTTTCCTTTTAGAATAATCTGAGAAAAATAAAGAATTAATTATCAATACTTTTCTGTAGGCTCGTTATTCAGCTTCTTGTAACTTTTGGTCATTGCAGTACTCTCTCATTGTATGACTTGAATATAAACAAGTGACATTTGAGTAATAGTTTGTGTATAGAATAGAGTAACTTTACAAATACGGTGTGGAAAAAGTGGCTTTTGGTGTTTTATATTGTTAAAAAAATACTTCTTACTGTAAACTGAAGGTAAGATAACAGGTAGCATATGTTAATTTTTGGAAAAACGAAATATTGTATAGAAGTAGTTTTTAGTAGTTTTGTGTTAATCTGACTTTCTTGCGGGTGCTGGTGCCTTTGTTACTATAAAATAAATTCTAATATAATAAAGGGCTTAGTCTGTCTGTCTGTAACACTCTTGGAGCACTCTGCTTACTGAAACAACCAATCAGAGTGCTCCAAAAGCTGTTATGGACAGGAGGCAGCAATGGAGTACCACCATGACAGTGGGAACAGAGCAGGAGGGCCAGGACATCCCTGCTGGCCTTAGCTTACCTCCCCCAGCCCTGCTTCTTGGAGGGGATGGTGGGGCAAGCTTCGCCCTTCCTTCCCCCCGCACCCCTCTGTCCCGGGTGGGGGGTTAGGGTTAAGAAGCTTCCCTGTCCCTTTCCTCCCCTACCCCGTTGTTCTTGATGGGCAGTTCTCTAGTAAATGGATTACTTTTTTTTTTTTAAAGGAATCTACTAGCTCATGTTTTGTCAGTTGCCCAGAATAACTGTGCAATGCAAGTACTTCTGAACAAGCTGAACTTCTAAAATGTTGACTGTATTGCTTTTTAACAAAGAGCTAAATAGGCTGGCTTATGCTAAAACATAAATTATGAAATTGCGAAGAGAAATTTTAGTCATACATTTTCATTATTGAGTTTTATATTAGAGATTGAAAACCTCTGATTAGATTGTTATACAGAAAGTTTAAGATATTGCATAAACTGGTTTTATAATTTCCATTTCTTTTGTGAGATGTGTGATGAGAGAGAATTAAATTAAAAGCTAGGAAGCTGTATGCTTACAGAAACATTTCACACTTTAATTTTTTTTTCTTCCCTGAAATATATCTTTATTTTAGGTACTTACATATTGGTCACGCAAAAGCTGCTCTGCTAAATCAACACTATCAGGTTAACTTTAAAGGAAAGCTCATCATGAGGTTTGATGACACAAATCCTGAAAAAGAAAAAGAAGACTTTGAAAAGGTATGTGGAGAACAATGGAAGCTATTTCTGGAAGAAAGCCATGCAGTTACCTTGAATTGTATCTACAGGTCCAGTGGTTCTCAACCATTTTAGCTTCAAAGCATCCCTACATAACTCCTCTGTATGTAGTTGCACTCTGGTTGAGAATCAGTGAGCTAACTCTAAATTTGGAAAAGTTATTTAGGGGTACCTTGAGGCTAAAAAGGTTCAGAACCACTGATTTGGTGGTACTAGGTAAGGGCAGCAGGACCTGCTCTGCACTTTCTGCCTGCCCTCTCCCTCCCTCTGATCTGTATGTGAGGGAACAGTGGTGGTGTCTGCCACCAAAGCTGTTCCATTGGGGTCTTGTATGACAGTGGCTAGAGCCATCTGCCCTGCAGCCCCTCCTGCTAGCCCTGGGAGCCCCAGAGTGTTGAAGCATCCTGGTTGAGAATCACTATTATAGATGTACAGGTGTATCTATATTAGCAGTGTGCCTTATACTTTCCTTAAAAGCCAAGACTTTTTGGTCCAGTACCCCATTATCTTTCCCTTCCCTTAGTACTTGCTTCACGTTATTGTGCTGCCTATATGTTTGATGACAACTAGTTTAGAGAATTGAATTTTAAATAACCTAACCACAAATTGCAGCCAAAGTTCTAATTTAAAATGTATTATAGCCACTGAAGCCATCAGTGCTTATAACTCAGGGGTGGGCAAAATGCGTCCTGCGGGCCAGATGCGGCTCGCCAGGCCATTCCATCCAGCCCATGGGACCCCTAAAAAATTTAGGAAATTAATATTTATCTGCCGCTGGCTGCCTGTCATATGGCCCTTGATGGCTTGCCAAAACTCAGTAAGCAGCCCCGCCCAAAATAATTGCCCACCCCTGCTATAACTTGTTGTGTTTGAAAATCTCCACTTCACATAGGAAATACTGTATAAAATATCCCAGGTGTCCAGGCAGGTAAAAAGTATTTTAAATTTTCTTAAAAATTATCCTTATAGTCACTTTCTTAATATTTGCAAAATCTTTGAGATGGCAAAAATTGAAATATCTATTTTCACCTTATGCTGCTTCTGGTGGCTGGATAGAGGAACCTCATATAGGTGGCTCTTGAGGCTTGCAGCTGTTCTTACTTGATTAAACATGCAACAGAAATTTAGGGTGCCAGCTTTTCCTATCTGATTTTTCCTGTCCCATTCTCTCTTGGAGGAGTGGATACCAGGCTTCAGTTTCTCTTGCTCTGCAGCGAGCATCATCCTGGGTCTCCTTTATATAATTCTGTGAAGTAACAGCAAATTGGTCCAGTTTATTTTTATTCATGTCTTGTATTAATGTAGTGATGCCTTTTGGCAAAAGCATCATTTCAGACTGAAAAAGTTTAACATAGATACAGTGAACAGTTAGCTGTTTCTTTTCAGTTATGAATATTACAGAACAACACTTTTCAGGTTATTCTGGAAGACGTTGCGATGCTTCACATCAAACCAGATCAATTTACATATACCTCAGATCATTTTGAAACAATAATGAAATACGCAGAGAAGCTCATTCAAGAAGGGAAAGCTTATGTGGATAACACTCCTGCAGAACAAATGAGAATGGAGCGTGAACAGAGAAAAGAATCCAAACACAGAAATAACTGTAAGATACTTTGTGGCTCTGCTCCCACCTTTTGTTACCTTTGTTAGTGAAATACAGTTTTGGGTGATTCATTGATCTTACTACCTGTTTTTAGTTGCTGTGAATGCATAGGAAGCCACTGGGGACACAGGGGCGTTGAGGTGATTATCTTGCTTTGTGGAACAAAGCACCAAATGAGTTTTCTGTATATGTGATTGACCTATTGCATGTACACAGTAATATCTGCCATGCAGTTGGATTTTAATGCCATATGCTGAATGTGTAAAAGAAATTCAGGAGTATGCTGTACTGCATCTAAAGAGTGGGTGACATTGATATGTGTTAATGCAGGAATCAAAATATGCAACTATGGCCAGATGAGTAACATATTAAGAAAATCTTAAAATTCTTGTTTGTTAGCTGTAGAAAAGAATCTGGAAATGTGGGAAGAAATGAAAAAGGGAACAGAATATGGACAAACCTGTTGTCTACGAGCAAAAATAGACATGAGTTGTAACAATGGATGTATGAGAGATCCAACTCTTTATCGTTGCAAAAACCAGCCACATCCACGCACTGGAAATACCTACAAGTATGTGCTCTTTGGGTTCAGATTGATTTTTT